GTTAAGCTTACGGGTGCTTAACAAACCGTTACAACCTGAGAACTCGAGTCCCACGAGCCTCAATACACTTGCTCGGAGATACCGCACTCCAAGACTTCAACCCGAAGGAATATGCCCTTCCTTCGTACAACCAAGGGAACAAACCTCCCTTAAAGTGTTCACAACACTTAACCACTCAAGAACAAAAACTCTCTTAAAGAGTAGAATATGAGTAAACTAATTTAGATCAAGAACACACTCAATTCCTCAAGAAATGGCTCTAAAAAGCTATGTAAAAGTTTATGGAATGATGCAATGTAAAGCTATGAAATGTGTGTGGAATGGATGTCAAAAGTAGACCCAAGTGACCCCTTTTTATACCCAAAAACAAGGTGCAACGGTTGGGAGAAGATTGGAGTTGATTCGCTTGATTTGTGGAAATCAAATAAAAGTGGATCTACTGAAATCTAGCCCGACAGCGCTGTTCATATGGTGAACATCGCTGTTTTGGCTTTGACTTTCCTTTAAAAATGGCTAACGGTCATCAAAACATCGATGTCTAGAAGTCTACATCGCTGTTGGGGTGTTTCACTTTCAAAAATGGAAAGATTTTGTCTTAAATAGCCCAACGGTCATTTGAAAACATCGCTGTTCAACCATGAACATCGTTGTTCAAAAACTTACTGCCCAAGGCTTCTGAAGGCCAACATCGCTGTTGGGATTTCCGACATGCATGTCGGGATGGTTTGCCAGAACCATGGTTTGGCAGCCAACGCCGAAAACCGATGTCAAAAACCAAAGTTCTCCAAAATGAAAACCAAGTGTTGGAAACTCTTATATAATGTATTTTAGGTAGAAACCAAGTATAAAAACTTAAAAACCACTTCATTACGGTAAAAACCACGGCTAGCCAAGTTTATGCCGTTTCACATGTTTTTCACCAAAAGACCAAAAACGAAAGGTGGTTTTTAACATGTTTTTGTTGGAGAACCATTTGGATGTGTCCAGAAGTAAAAACCAATCATAAAAATATTAAAAACCACTTGGTTGGTTCGGACACCAAAAACCAACGCCGATAACCAGCGCCAAATGCCGATAACCAACGCCGAAAAAACAAAGGTTATGGTTTTTGAAAACAAATGATTTGGAAAACCTTTTAATGTGTCCAGAAGCTTAAACCAAGGATAAAAACCCAAAAACCATTTGGTTAAAATCAATGCCAATAACCAATGCCGAAAACCGAACGCCATAGCCGAACGCCGATAACCGATGGTTATGGTTTTGGTTAAGCAAGAACCATAGGTATTAGAAACTTAAAAACCATTTATGAAAACACTCATTTGATGCATGAAAAACATATTTTGTTTTGAGCCATGACGTAGAGA